ATGTAGCAGCCTGTCCGGGTGGAGTAGGGGTGGACTGTAATCTTTTTTTTGTTGCTAACAGGGGAGGGGCTGTGTTCGTTAGCGGGGAGCCAGCGGCAAAAAAAACCGCCATGCCAAGCGGAGATTTCCAGGTACGCTGCTGCATTATGTTTTGAGGGATTAAGGAGGGAAATGATGAGGAGGAGAAGGGTAGAGAGTCTGGATTGGCATAACTGCGGTTCCCATTTCTCTATGCATTCCGGGTATCACTCTTTTTTGCTATGTCTTTTTCCACGGAGTATTGGAAGATGGCACATCGAGCGACTTCACGATCATCTTCTACCGCGGTAGTAGGAAAGCCTGGGTTGGACGAAGAATACCATATCTCCACTCAACTGTCATCTATGATTCGCATTTTTGCTTGGTTGAGATACATCACAAATTTCAAGTCCGCCATCGAGTTCCTCTCATCCCAACTCAAGCATGGCTTGAATCCGTCTCGTTGGTGTAGTTGGTTATCACGTGGGTCTCATACCATCACGCATGACTGCTTGATTGAAGCAGATATCCCAAGGCCGCCAGTTCGAGTCTGGCACGGGACAGTTGTTTTGTTTTTGTTGGTGTTGCTTGCTGGAATCGTGTGTTGTGTGGTGGTGGGTCTCTTTTTTTTTGTGGGTGTGGGTGGATGGTGGGTGACGAGGAACATGAGACGGTGGGAGGGGGTTAGTCCATCACGAACATGATGGTTGAAATGGCATGTACTTGCATTTCTCCCTAGACAATACTCAGTTTTGATGTAACATCAAATGCACAAACATTCAAAGCGCATCCCAGGTCCATCAATGTGACAGTATCTCTAGGGAACCTCATGTGCACATCCATTGCACATTGCATGTCATTGTGGAGAGAATATGGAGCAACAGACGCTTGAATACATGGACAACACTCTATTCAAACACACTTCACGTTTTCCAGATTGAACAGATGATGACACGACAACACTCGCTTCTTTCATTATAATATTAACGTTTCCCAACAACATACGTCAATGGGGGCAGCGGGAGAGGGAGAGATAGCCAAACACGCAGCAAACATCAGCCCGTCAACTACAGGCCCAGACCATGCAACACCTCCCCAGCAACTACAACTACCGCTGCTTCCTCCCGCTCACTTCAGCTGAGCCATATATAACCCACACACACAAGTGGCAAGACAGAACCAACAGAGAGAAAGACACAATCACAACCCCCCTTATATCATTCCGTCTTGCCATACTACGCCAAATGCGGGAAAAAAGACAAGCAAAACAAACAGACAAACAAGGTATCATCGGAATCAGAAGATCAGACGATGGAGGCCAGCAACCAACCGAGTGGTGTGGGTGGGGTGAGACAGATTTGGTTGGACACAGACCAATACAAAAAAGGAGAATATTGACAAAACAATATGAAAAGAGTGTAGAGAAGGAAAAGAGGTTGGTGTTTTATATACACTTGATCCCTCGGGATCGAGAGGATACGTTGACAGGTGGATTGATGGATGATGATGGTGATGGCGAGGAAGTGGTTGACGCGCTGAGGGTGGGGAGATTTGGCGTCGGGTATCTGTAGCGACTGAATGTGGAAAGCACAAGGCCTCCTTTGATGTAGTTGGGTTGAATAATATTTTGTGCCTCCAGAAAAAAATGAAAGAGACGCCCGGCGCTGAGAATGCTATGATGCTCAAGAAAAGAAAATCTGACTGCTGTATACAGAGATGAGGACGAGGTTTGGTTGGCTAAAGACGCTGATTGCCAAGACGCAAGGTAACGAATCATGTCTGCAGAGACGAGGGGTGGATGGCATGGAGGATGGACTCATTATCGACGTGAGGGTGCACAGACCAAACGGACATTGAGATGTTTATCGACTCTGGCCGAGATTCAGCCAAGACATGTCAGACTGCTCCTTTTTCGCTTCGCCCACAGTGTGTGCAGGACCGGGAAACATGGTGACTGTGCTCTCATGCCCAGCTCGCGGTGTCGCAAAGAATGAGGTGAACTTGGGACTCGGTAGTGCTGTGTCTTGATGTGCTGCAGCACCACCTGGGCCACCTGGGAAGAGCGTGGCGACGCTTTCGCGCTCATGAGGAAGACCAAGTTGCGGGTTTGGGGGGTACATGGAACCGAACTTGCTCTGGGGCATTTGCTCAGTCGGCACAGGAGGGGGAGCGCCAGATGGGAAAGTCGTTGCTGTGCTGTCGCGGAAATCAGGAATCGTGGGGGTGTTTCCCTGACCAGGGTAGAAAGAACTAAAGTTGCTCTTCGGGTAGAACGAGTCAGTTCCGTCAGGATAGTATGAGCTGGTACCGTCGAATTTTCCATGGTCAATCGCCACACTGCCAGTGTAGTTGCTACTGGTTCGTCGGCCATTGTCCATGGGAGTCCAGTTGTCTACAGGCCGGTGAACTTCATGATGGCTGAAAGCGGATATTGAGCTAGCATTAGAGTTGGCACGGGCAAGTTCCGCTTGCATAGGCTGCATCTGATGAGGCAGGACGGATGTGGGTGTACCAAGTGTTGGGCTTCCACTAGCTACACTGCTCAGACGTTGTCCATCACTGAACTTGGGAATCTCCAGCGGTGCAATGTGTTGGGATGGACGCAAGCTGTGCATGTTGGAGCTTGTGTACTGTGACTGGCTGGCCGTACTTGTCCTGTCTGACGCGAATGTGGACCTATCAGCAGGAGGAGCACTGGCAAGATTCGTGGCCTCATTGTTCGCAAAGTAACGACTCCAACCTGAGCTGCGAGCTCTTGGTGCAGGCTGGGCTGTTCGGCTCGAGTTTTGGCGAACCATGGGCTCGACAGGCTCTGGCTTCAGGTCAAACTTGGCAAGCTCGTAAGGCTCAGAGTATTGCTCAGAGTAACCAAGAGGGCTGGTCTTCTTGACAAGACCGGCTGTGCTAGCATCGCTTGCCATGTTCTTCTTGTGACCACCACCTCGACCTTGAATGATGGCGAGTGATGTGGTAGACTCGTTGTTCCTTGGATAACTTGCTACCGATCCACCGGCTTCCTTCATGAAAGCAGCTCCTCGATCAGCAAAGCTCATGCGGTCGTTCTTCTCGACATAAGCATTCTTCTTGCTCTTGTTCTTCCTGTACTTGAGACAGAACAGAATCAAGATGAGGATCAACGCAATGCCGAAAATGGTTCCGAGTGTGGCACCGAGCACGGTCAGCATACGTCCTTTGTTGTCAGGAGGTCCTGGAGGTCCTGGAGGTGACGCGGCAGCTTCTGTGCTGGTGGGGCTGGCAGATACAGATGCGGATGCAGATGCCGTTGCAGTCGCCGTTGTTGACACGCTTGAAGAAGAAACGGAGTTTGCGAGCACCTGTTGACCCTCAAATACCGCTGACGCGTTCATCCAAGAGTTTTGCTGGGCATTGAACAGAGCGATTGGTTCCTGATCATTACCCCCGCTTGCAACAACAGTACCATCATTGCCTTGCGCCAATGAGTAACTTGATCGTGTCGTCGTAGGCGCGAGTGTTTCATTGTACGGCGACCAGTTGTTCAAGGTCACACGTTTCGTCTTGCCTCCCGTCTTGCCTCCAACTCGAGTTCCGGGGGCTGCAGGCGATCCGTCCTTGTTCAATAGCAGTATTCGTTCCACAGTGTTTGGGGAAACGCTCATGTCGAACTTTTGTAGAGCGACTCCTCCTTCTTTGTTGGAGATTATGGAGCATTTAACAGCGTCTTCGTTGGTGATGGGCTGTTGCAAAGTGACACCAAGATCCTGCCATCCAGTTGCTTCTGTAAACTTCCAGACGGCTGTGTTTGATGCACCTCCACCCACCAGCAAAGCGGTGTTCGCATTCGACTCCATCAACATAGGATTCACAGTGAGTGGCGCACCAGCCGATGGCAGACCCACGACAGAGTAGGGAGCGACGGTGGAAATCAGAAAGGTTTCGGCTGACGGGCCACCGCCGTCGGCCTGCGATCCAGAGTAGACGAGAATCTTTTGCGAGTCCTGGAGGTATGCGGCGCCATGGTTGATTCGTTCCTGCGTGTTCCAGCTCTCTGAGCGTTGCCAGTCCCACTTCTTGGTAGAAAATGTGTAGTGCATCAAGCCAGGGTAGTTCCAATCAGAGGCTGTCGCATTGACCCTTCCTCCAACAATGAACAGCTTGGCGTCTCGAGTGTTACCATTGGGTACTGCCTTGACACATCGTCCTCCTGTAAGCGATACATCCATCGGTAGGGCCTGCCATTTAGCGCCTTCTTCAAGTTTTAACGATTGAAATCCAGCTGGCGAGTATACGTAAAGCGTCTCTTCGTAGATGATTGAACAGTGCTCCTTGAGCGGGTAGATTGGTTTTGGTGTGCCCATGATGGTGTAGATCACGGGGGGTCGGGGATGAAAGCGAACGGAACGAGCGTTTAGTGTCGACTCGGGACGGAAAAAGCAATGAATGAACCAATTATGTCTCCACCCGACTTCTCATAGCGATGTGTGCGAGTCACGGTCGATTAGGTGTCCAGAAATGGCCAGGAGTTTTCGTTCGATTGAGCGACACGACGTGTACTTGACGGCAGAGGGAGTGATGCGATGTTAGTCTGCGTCGGGAATCGCGAGGGCAATCGACTGCAAGAAATACAACATCAGTATGACTGAGTATAGAGCGCGACCAATGGGAACGTACTCGAATCTGCGACAAAAAAAGCCGTGAGCAAGTCCGAGGGCGAGGTGGAAGGGATGGTGGGAGAGCAACGGTTTGCCTGGACGAATACGCGGAGAGCGACGGGGTAGCGCTCTCTCAAAGAGGCGTCGACGTATGCGAAGGGTAGAGCGAAAGGAGAGGCAGCACAGCTCAGCGGTGTGCAGGTGTTGAAGGAGGGGATGGGGGGAAGCCGTGCAGGTGAGGCTGTTCAGGCACGCAGCAGCTGAAGCTGGAGAGAGAGACAGGTGAGCCCGAGCCTGAGCTGAGCGAGGGGGAGAAGACCAACCGGCCGCTGCGAAGGGTCCGTCCACCCTTCACGGTTGTGCAAGGGCATGATTCGGAGTGGGCCTAGGCATGATGCCAAAGGGCCTGAGCGGCGACGGCACGAGTGAGGACACACCATGCACACCGGGCCTGTCAGGGGCACTTGGTGAGATAGGCCAATCATGCCGGGTACCTGTCGCTGATGTTCGCCAACGCCCCTGGCCTTGACCAAGTATATTTAGCGTTCTTTTTAGCCAAGAGACATGCCTGCAGCGAAGAAACAGCCCAGTGTCGGAACCTTTCCAGGGCATCTGCTGGACCTGCAGCGCGCAGACTCTGCTCTGGGTAGGTGAGAGGCGAGAGGCGAAGACCGTTGCGGGGTTGCCGGCAAGCAGGCCCTTTTTGGCCTACATATCTAGACGGCATGCTTCTACATAAGCTCGTAACTCTCTGTGACAACATGCCTCGACTGTCAGCAGCGGGCGAGAGGGCAAACGGCGAGCTTCACATGATGGCGGTCGTTTGTGGTGCGCACTCAACCCTCCGCGCGTTCCCCCCCTCTCCGCCGTAGCACAACGGGACGATGAATAAGGGCTCTCTGATCATTTCCGCTCCTTTGAGCATGCCACGAATCAAGCCAGGCCGCTTCCGTGCTTTGCTTCTTCCTTCCGTGGATAAGAAGGGACGGGCACCGTATCTAACGGTCTGTGTCTGGTGGCAGGCAGGTGGGTGGCAAAGCTCGTATGTATGCCTAAAGATACATACACACGGTACTGCGGTCGTATATGCATATGCATGGTAGCCCCTATCGATAGTTCGTGTCCAGATGAGGGGTGTTAGCATGGCGAATACCTCGCGGACGGCTGGTCATATCTTTGTGCTGCTTCTCCCGTGTGGCTGTGGGGGTGTTTGCGCACGGCGAGATGTGGTCCTTGGGCAGCCAAGGCTTCCCATCACACTCCCCGATCACACCCTGGGAGGCACGGGCGCGAAGGTCGGTGGTCATTGTCAGGCGTACGTAAGTAGGCAGGCAATAGCGCGAGGGCGATGGAGAAGCCCAAGAGGCGCGCGCGTTGCAGTGGGCGGTTTGGTGTTTCCGCAATTTGGTGACGGGTGGAGCAGCAGCAGCAGCAGCACGAAGGGCTTGGGGCTCCCACGCATGCGCACACTGACGTCTGAAACGGAACCCTCGGTCCCCAAGCTGATTGGCGTGCCTGATCCGGCCACCTGACTCAGCCGCTAGCCACGCGCTGTTCCACGCCCGAATGCACTAACTAGCCGTTCCTCTTTTCCACAAACAACACCATCGTCTCCCATTCACGATGAGATCATGACAGCACTGGGCTACCGCAGAAGCGCCCTTGCCGTACCACACTTCACGCCCCTGCCGATGATGACACTGGCAGCACACAACCCTTTCACCCTCACCGACTAGTCGGTACTCTACCCCGCAAGCAGTGTCCTAGCTCCGACTGCGACCATGGGAGCCGTGTCCCGGGCAGCGCTCCCAATGCTTGCGGTTGGTCCGTCATCAATCTCCTACGCCTTGGAGACGGTATTCCTCTGCACTCCTGCACCGTCGGCTAAACACGTCCCGGGCGACTAGCGACGATGCACCACCCAAGCTCTCGTCTGAATGGTGGCAGGAGCTGAGTCAGATTTATTGCTTCTCTTCCCACGACAGTCCATACAGTGCAGCAAACACAGCCCTCGACGAGCTTTGGACACGATGGTCGGGTACAATAGTTCGTGTTCTGCTCTCCATGCGCCCAGTCACCCTCATTCGAGTAACCGGCTTGTCCCGACCCACGCTTTGTTTTGCATAAACTCACATCCCGCCTTCCTACTTGGCATGGCAATCCCGCTGCCGTTGCCCACAAAACTCGGGTCTTTTTACTCCACTCCGCCTCATGTGGTTTGTCGTGCCATTCTGTATACTCTGAGGGGCAAACAAGTGGGACCAAATATGTCTTTATTGACCAACAGTGAGGTGCTCGGCTGAGATATTCGAGACACTGCCATCTCCTCAGCACTTTGCATTGATCGGACCCGCATTATCGGGCCTCGCGGAAAACAACTCTTTAGAACATTGACCCCCGTTTGGGAACAAGCAACCTCGGAGCGTTAGTAAAGGTGGTGTCAACGGTCAACTCGCGTTTGTTTTATCCCGATAACGTTGGTGTTACATATAACAAAAGCAAGAACCGATCGTCTCAACAACCCCCTTCAGATCTCCTTGACCGTTGCACCGGTCTGTCGGAACTCTCCATGCAGTTCATGCGCATCGTTCAAATCACGATTTCACGTCTTCGTTAGTTCAGAAGCAAACATTCTTGTCCTAGATCCGGCACAGATTCACTTTACACCATGCACTGTTGATTGCACTTTCTGGAACTTCTTCCACGTTTAATATCCAGAGTTGGTGATATGAAATCGCTTCACTACTTCCGTCCCCTATAACTTTAGGGAGTACGTATAGGGCAATCTTTCTTGAACCAATAACATCAACAGTGCAGGCTCTCAAAGCTGAAACGGCGCAAGACAGTGCACACACATGATTGCGTCAGCCGCTGATGCATCAAACCAACATACTAAACACGAGAATTGCGTCTGTCAATCTCCTGAAACTTTGACGTCGGGCTTTTGGGGCCTATTCCCTCCAGTCATGATGCTCGCTATGGTGATAGACGGAAGATCACCATACATCTCTACTTGTGTCATGACTCCAGTGACGCGTCACGAAGATCAGCCAATCGCGATGGCATATCAAACCTTACAGTACGAACACACATGCTATTGAACCCAACGCTTTGGTACAGTTAGAAAGCATACTGAATGAATACCGAAGTACAGTGAAGTGTCGCATATGTGAGATACGCGAGCTGTCACCGGTATCATGTCAATCGGGCACTGAGCACATTACAACTAAAATCCGACAACCAGTACGATCGTGATCACGCAAGTCCCCAATTTCTGTTTCCTGAAAACCAACAACGATGATGAGAAAGCTATTCCAATGCTTTGTGAACATATTGAAGCCAAGCATGTCACTTATGAATCACCACACCAAGACGCTGAACCCTCTCCACCCCCATCACTCTACACCACCATCTCCACTAAACCACTCTTTTCGCCCACCACATCTACAATCCTCCGCCTGATTAGATTCCCTGGAAAAACACTTCTCATATTACATCCCACATCCTCCATTCTACCTGAATCACCGCCAACCCCCCGCACTGACCGCACATAAATATCCCTACTACCCAATCTAACTATCCTCTCATCACCCATTTTCCCTCTGTTTTTCCTTAATCTCTACCCGCTTCGTATTCGTCATTACCCTTCCATGCATACACACACGAGCCCTTTTTTTCCCCAAAAAACAAGGTGCACATGTTCGGGTCGTCCCTTTTCTTTTTGTTGTTGCTCCCCGGTAGTTACGACTGAATTGCTTGTATCTATCTAACACATATTTTTATCGAAAATATCTTTTCCCAGAAAATGGATGACAGGTCACATACCAACTTGTCGGTATCAACCCAACCCAGCACAACCCAACCTCCCAAATAGTTATAATTAGTGCCTGTTTTTTTTTGGACTGGGTTGTGGTTTGTTGTCATATAAGCTTCGAAATACGAATACGAGACAAGACAACAGACCATGGGTAAAGTAACGAGGCGGAATCAGCCTTATCTTTTTGACGTGTTTCTTGCGACTAGGTTTGCGCACGGTTGGAGATGGTGTCGCATGGACGCATTTGAAACGCTGATGCTCTCTTTTGCTTTCATGGGTTGCCGGTTTGATGTTGGTGAGGATCAAAAGTGGGTGAACTCTTGGGTGTGAACTTGGAGGATCGGGTTGATTTACCCGACACGGGTGGAGTGCAAGTGTCTGACCGAGGACGCTTTGGCGGACATAAGGGATATATATATATATATATATATATATGGAAAAGATATAATGTCATTGACTATAAAAGGCTGTGATAAAACTATCCATCGTTGTCAAGAGGCGCTTGGACTGGAAACCCAAGCAACATACTATCTGCTTCTTCTAGCAGACTGTTCTGAGCATTACCAAATAGCATGTTCAGACAACGAGTCACCCTGACAATCATGAGTCAAAGGATACCAACTATGCAGTCGACAAGACTCACTCTTCATTCATGGGAATGCGACATACATCAATGTCATCTCAATGCTCTTCACAAAAAAAATAGCATTTCACGAAAATATGTGTCTCACCATCAAACCATCTTCTTCATCGTAAAACTCAAAGACGGTCTGCAGGCGAGCAGTGACTATTGTCACCTGGCATTATTCTCCGCTAGTCGTATAGCTCACGGCAACCATTAGGTAAGGTCGATGAGTAGATATTCTAGCGTGGATGGGAATTTTTTTCTTCACATGCCTTTGGTCTCACGGTGATGGCTGGAGTAACAAATGTCATTCGTTGCCAAACTCCAAATCCATCGTGGTATCATTTCGAACAGAAAATCTTCGACGGGGCCGCATGGCGGCAAGTCCATTGTTGGAGCTAGTAGCCGGTAAAACGCCCTGCTTTTCCATGCGCACATCGCATGCCCAGACCGTGAACCCATGATATGCATTTCATCCACTCGGAGGCGGTGGGACAGCCCATGCCCATGTGCCTCGAAGCCGTGGTGTGTCGTCAAACAAAGAAACAAAAAGCGAGACGTTTAAGCCTCCCTCTGCTTCTTCTTCTCCTCGCGGCCGGCGCTCTTGCGCTCCAGGATAGACTCGCGGTCCTTGTCGAGCTTGAGCTTGGTGATGACGACCTTGGAGGCAGCGATGGGGATGGGAACCGACTGGCCGTTGCTCTTCTCGCGGACGACTGTGTGGAAGCTTAGTAAGAATATGCCAGCTTGAGGGAATCAAGGACTACGCACTGCCGTTGACGTGAATGCAGTACTTGAGGCGGTAGACGGAGGAGACCTTGCCCTCACGGCCCTTGTTGGAACCGCGGACAACGGTGATCTCATCCTTGGAAAAGTCAGCACACTACCAAAGTCGATGAAAATCGAGGTATACTCACATCCTTGCGAATGGGAATGCTGCGCACTCCGTGCTTCTCGCGGAGCTCCTTACTCAAAGGCGCCTGAAGGTTGTTAGAACATGTCCACTGCAATGTTCCAAGTCTCTTCATACGCTCATGATGACCCGACGCACACTACTCGGCGCACTGAAGTGCGCCTTTCGCGATTTGCGGCGAGAGCTCGCGACCAGTGACTGGACCTTGGTCATTTTTGCTGTGGGATGGGCGGGTTGTCGGGTTAGTAGACAAAGTTCGTGTCGCACCTCGAAAATTAGGGTGGTGAGAATGTGCAGAAGCCAGACCAGCTTCGCTTCGCTAGCGTCGGCAAAGCTATTTTTCCGTTATACCATAGCCACCCCGGTTCGCGCAAGTCGGCAACGCGTGAGCCGCAGGCCGACCGTCATGGGCACGGCGTCACTTTGCTACGCGTCGCAGTCTATCTGCCCCTCGATCCGGCGCATTTATCGCGCGTCAAGACCAGTGTACAGTGTGAAGCACTTGTTCATCCGCTGCCTTTACTCAAGTGACGCCTGCGATATCTGTCGCGACAAAGCCTCCCCGGAATCCGTAAAGTGGCAAAATATTAATCCGAAACTTCTCAGCCGAGAATCGCAATGTCGACGAATGGCTATAACACATACAATCCCTCCTACCAACACTCTTCCGCCCAGCAATACGCGTCGTATCAGACTGCACCCGCTTCGAATAATATCGCCCAATCCGCCCGCCAGTACCAGCAACCACCACCGACGACGACGCAAGCCCAGCAGTACATTGCCTACCCAGCACAGTCATATACAACCCAGAACAGTGGATATGGAACTGGATCCATATGGAACAACAGCACATATGGTGCAAATAGCGAGACAACAAATCGAGCTGCCGAGGTTCTGCGCAATATGAGTAACCCCTCGTATGCATCTAGCACCACACCTGCGACCACCCAACCCGCCTTCACCACCAACACTACTACGTCGTCGCATCCTGGTCACTACGCCAGCTCGAATGCCCCGCAAGCCCCAGCGAAGCAGAGCCATTCTATTTATGGACAATCGCAAGCGCGCCCACAGAGCGTCATCAATAATCGTGCTCTACCGTCTCCGGTCACAGCATCAAAGAGCCATCTGCACACAACGCAGCCAATGCGTAACCAGCAACAGCAGCAGCGCTCCGCCAGCCCGGCTCAGCCTCAATACACTACCGCGCAAGCGAACAATGCGTGGACCACAACCATCATGACTACAGAAAACCAGCAGTATGGCGGTTACGGCAGCCAGCAGATTGCTAGTGTCGAGTCCTCGCGCAGCTCACAAAATCGCACACCGTCAAACGTCAATAATTACGACACTGCGCCAATTCCCCCAGCTGCGCCTTCTGTACCCACTGTCAGCATGGCAGATACATACCATACACAGGGCACTACTACCGTAGATCCACTGGCAGTTTACGACCCATGGCCGGAATATCAGCGAAAACAAGCAGCAAGGAAGGCGATTGAGGACGTGGCACGTGCTGAAGTGGAAAGAGTTGCAGGGGAGGCGCGCCAAATAGAAGAGGAGCGTAGACGACAAGAAGAAAGAGAAAGTTTGCGACAACCACATCCAAAGCCCAATGCGAACCAGAGTCAAAAGGAGCAGCAACCAAACACAGCCGAGGTGGCTGCTGCACCTCCGGCTGGCGAAGATGCCCCCAGTGGCGAATTGGAAGCCGAGATTCGTGCAATGATGGCGAAAATGCGCGAACTCAACAGTAAAGACCCGAGTCTCCTCGCGCGCATCTGGGAAGAGGAACGTAGAGCAAAACCAAAATCACAGATGACACAAAGTAAGCCTACGCCTCCAGCTACCGAAGCCCAATCTTCACAACCTGCTCATGCTAGCACTCCGCAGCTTGCAAACTTGGAGGAGAGCATCTCACATAGGGAAGCAGCCAACACAAATGTATCTAAGCCGAGGACTCCCGTGGTCGCTCAGGCTGAACCGGTCAGGCGAACTCAGACACCGGCCAACCGACCCGCCGGCAACACTGTCTGGCCAACAGAGAAGAAGGCACATCTAGCAAAAGCAGCCGCAGCGTATCTAAATGACCACAACACTTTCCGCAAAATCCAAGCTTCTCGCATAATAACTTTACTCAATGGCAACCCTTCTTATATCCAGCTATGTGAGCAGCTTGAGCAGATGGGGTTTAAACTAGATCGCGCAGCTTTTGCTAAATGCTTGCTCACAGCCGTGCCAGACGTCAATTCAAAACCGCGTCAATCTTTACCTCAAGCACCAGCTCCTGTTCAGACACCGCCTGTCCCACCTGCCGTAATGAAGAAGGACATTTCAGCTCCCGTCGCACCTAGCCCACAAGACACGCCAGCTTCAGGTCCATCAGCTTCAGGTCCGCCAGCAAGTGCGGAACAGTACACGCCGTTTCCAAATGACGACTCACCGGCAGGACCTCCAGCACAGACACCTGCACCTGCACCTGCACCCGCATCTGCACCCGCATCTGCACCCGCACCTGCACCCGCACCAGTTGCCGAGATGATGCCCATCAAGCCTGAGCTGAGGAAGCCTGCTAATAAAGAAGAGGCTGCCCGAAAGCGCAACCTGAGCGAGCTTGTTGATCTAACGCAACTTTCAGAAGACGAGGATATGGGCCCACCACCCAAGAGGATGGATACTGGTGTCATGCATATATCTGATCCTCAGGATACAACGGATGGCGACAAGCAACCGTCGACTTCTATCCCCAATGGGCCACCGCAGTCTTTTATGCAACAATTGCCAGCGCTACCCAACAGCCTTAGATACACGACCTACGTTAAGCCACTAGATCGGAACAAAGCATTACGTCGCAATACTTACAATCCTGCAACAATTGCACGCGATGTCTTGATCGCTTGTGGAAGACACCCGTCTCAGCGTAATCTAAACCAGCATTTAGACCAGCTAAGAACAAGTTTGCCTCATGTCACGATGGAATCGGACCTCAGCACTATCAGGTGGGATCTGATCGATCCTGGCAACCCACCTCCGGACTACTTCAAGGAGAGAGTCGAAGATCTAACGCAAGATGCAGACAAGGAGGATTCGGGTGATGACGAGAGACCGCCTCCCCGCTCTCCGTCGAACGCGATTGGTGGTGGGGGTGGGGCTCAGGTAAAGGACCAAGCTTTACTCGAAGCTATCAATCCATTCATCAAGAAAAAGCGACGCGGTCGACCTCCGCGAAACTCTTTACCTGACACCACTGAGCCTGTAAAACAGCCTGCTCCCATGAGTTCAAGTGACCGCCCTGCTTCAGGTGCTAGCGGCGTGGGCTATTCGGCATTTCGATCTGCTACACAATACAACCCTGACGGTACACCGATTCCTAAGAAGAAAGGTCGCCCTGTTGGTTGGAGAAAGGCCATCCATGGATCTGCTGCCACGCAGGCTCAAACGACTTCAAAAAAAGACACTGGCCTCTTGAATAAGCATCAGCCGCCACAACCAAGCTCCTTGGGCAATGTGCGCACAGATGATGCGGCAATTCGTATCGACTCGAGGTCGCCGAGTGTCGTGGACCGTGTCTTTCAGTCGTACAAGTGTAGATGGCTAAACTGCAAAGCAGAGCTACACAACATGGATACCCTGAAGAAACATGTGTTCAAAGTGCACCGTAAAGAAACGGTCGGTAACACTTTGAACTGCCTGTGGGATGGTTGCGGCAAAGATACCCATCCACCTTCTTTTGATCTGGAGAGCAACTGGCGTAGCCATGTACAGCAGGTGCACTTTGATCCGCTGTTATGGGAGCTTGGCGATGGACCAGCCAGTGGTCTCTCTGGTAAGGAAGATGACTGAAGAAGAGCTTGGATTGACACGAGAGAAAGGATCTGACAATGTGCAATATAGACTCGCATGACTATGATGCTTATCTTAGCGACGCGCAAGGTCGACAAGTTACTCCACGCATTACAGTCGACCCTGAGCGCCTAGAGGCACTTAGTTTGTCTCCGCCAGATTTACTATCACGAGGTCGCGGTCGGCCTCCAAAACGCACCCTAGAGCAAGAAGCTCGTGACGCGCACGATAGGCTCGCGTCGCTGAAGATGCGTATAGGAGGACCGGGCATGGATCGTGGTGGTGCAACACTTGTGAACGAAAAACGGCGAAGAGGTCTCATTGATGTCGATGAGACAGAAGAGGAGATTGTTAACGTGGAGGATTGAACCAGACGACAGTGCTTTGTGTGGTTTATTTAACACTACTCTCTTGGGGATTTTTTTTCTACAGATACGCATATACCCAGCCGGAGCGCGATGCTGCATTGGATTGGCAGTGAGTGTGCATTAAAGAGATCGAGAGACACGCTGTACTTTACATAGCCCAACGAATCGAGCATTCCGGTGACCATAATCACTTGAGAAACCAAAGTTATATACGCCTGAACACCATGCCCGCGGACCAATAAGCTTCCCTTTTATGAGACGGGTATCATCTCTAACTCGCAACATGGATGCAATTGCGTGTCTCTTATCAATGGCTAGCCATGCTGTACTCTTCATGCCTTGACCTTTCCTCCCGCAGCCCTTGGCTTCTCCTCAACTTTGTGATCTTCGGAGTTGACTTCCAGGAAATGATAGACGACGATAAGCAGCATGGCAGCGCTTCCAAGGAAGATTGCGAGCGAGTAGAGTTGGGAGTCTGTAATCATCTTGGACGTAACCGCGCGTCGAATCGAGCTGGATGGCTAGTGGGAAAGCGTGGGGACGCGCTGCGGAGTTGTTAGTAACACAAACCAGCAACATAAAAAGATGTCAATATCTCACAGAAACTAAGCGCAATGCAAGGGCGTAAAAGTCGGGAATGTCGGGGCGGTATTGGTTGCGTACGTAGTGATTGACTATTGGGGCTCATGTCAAGGCCACCTTGAAGCTTCGGGAATGTCGGCGAGGGCCAGGGCTGGCTCTAGCGCAAGGTCCTCCGCCACTTGAAAATCCACCCCACACAGCGTCATTCTCACTTTGACGCCCACAAAGCCCAGGCACCATATCGCCCATCAACCATCTACCATCCAACGTCGCCTTTGGTACGAGCCCGTCCCCGAAACTGCGTGAACCTACCCATCATCCCTCCAACCCTCACCGTCTTTACAAACCAACGCAAACCAAGTAAACATGGCACCCAAGGGCAAGGGCGACCAGCCCAAGGCGAAGAAGGTCGTCGTGGACAAGACCTTTGGTATGAAGAACAAGAAGGGAGGAGCCGCCCAGAAACAGATTGCGCAGCTCAAAGCCACGCAAGCATCGGGAGGTACACCGGATGAGAAGCGCAAGGCGGCGGAGAAGGCACAGCGCGAGAAGGAAAAGGCCGCGGCCGAGGCGGCGCGCAAAGAAACCGCTGAGCTCTTCAAGCCAGTGCAAGTTCAGAAGGTCCCATTCGGAACCGATCCCAAGACAGTGCTGTGCCAGTTCTTCAAGAAGGGCAACTGCGAAAAGGGCAAGAAGTGCAAGTTTAGTCACGACCTGGCTGTTGAACGCAAGACCGAGAAGAAGAGTTTGTATACCGACAGCAGAGACCAAGAGAAGACAGAAGACGAGGAGCGCAAGAAGAAGGACAACATGGATGATTGGGACGAGACCAAGCTACGAGAAGTCGTCCTGAGCAAGCATGGAAATCCCAAAACCACAACAGACAAGGTGTGCAAGTACTTCATCCAGGCCATCGAAGACCAGAAGTACGGTTGGTTCTGGACATGTCCAAATGGCGGAGACAAGTGCTTCTATAAACACTCTCTCCCACCCGGGTAAGTTTAAACTGTTGCTGTGGATACCAGGATGTAAACTAATATGCTGCAGCTTCGTCATCAAGACCAAAGAGCAGCGCGCAGCTGAGAAGGCCCTTATGGCCAACTCCCCTCTCAACACTCTCACGCTTGAAGACTTCCTCGAATCGGAACGTCACAAGCTTACCGGAAAACTTACGCCCGTCACACCAGAAACGTTTGCCAAATGGAAGAAGGAGCGTATCGACAAGAAACAGGCCGAAGAAGAGGCTAAGAGGCTCAAGGAGGCTACTGGTAGGGCTATGTTTGAAAAGGGTGACTGGGCCCAAGACAGCGACGAGGATAGCAGCGATGGTGAAGCCGACGACGAATGGAATCTGGAATCCATGAGGAGAGAGACGGAAGCCGCACGACAGAGGAAGGAAGAAGAGCGCATTGCTGCCTCCATGGAGAACATGACCGTTTCTTGAATGCCGTCAACCTATTCCGAGTCAGAGACTCGTCGAGGCTGAGAGAGGAAGAGGCGACGAGAGCTTGCCGGCTGCCACACAATGCTGAAAAAGCTTGCAGGGCAGGACGAGTATTGCTATGGCAACAAACCGATTGGTCGTCCTTGTACACCTCTCGCCGTAGCTTCGGGATGATCCTAAGCTTTGTCACTCCATGTGCAATACTGCCTAGAATGGCAGATCATGAGGCTCAACTAGCTTTTGTGTCATCTGGCGCTGGCATCTCAGTTTGTTGGGGGATCAGGTATCATTATACGGGGTTACGAAATATAACTACGCTTGCATGAGCACTATGCCATGTTGATCTGCAAGATGCATTATTACGAGGGGAGTTTGTGGTAATGTTTTTGTAAAGGGAGTTTGGAATATCTCACTAGCAGTCTCATATACATCCGAGTATCTATAGTATGATATTGATCCCGCACATATCAAGCTAACGGCATGACTTTCTGAGGGCGGTGGGCCTCTGTTCAATGATGCTTCTACTTATGCTTATATCTTAGACAAGTGCTCAGAGGAAGCATGTGAATACCTACTCCATACCATAATGTCATCTCTACTAAGATGAAATTATTATATTACGCGTGCGTCCTGTGAAGACCACTCATCGGGGTCTTCAAGCATGTATCTTTCTATCCAATAGCGGTGAGGGTGATGCTAGCCTACAGGGAATCACATGCTATTCTCGGGCCGAAATGCATATCAACACATTGTACATACGAACTCTACCAAGAAAAAAAGTATACCACGGATAGTAGAAACGGTAACTGAGATAGTGAGATCGGAAAGTGGAGGGCGTTTCATTGTACCTGGGGTAATGTGGGATCTCCAGTTAGTCATAGGTCGGGCTTTTGGACAAGCAATGAAGACCGATCATCCTACAGAGCCAGAACAGACAACTGACACATACGACAAGCCTAGGGTACTTCAAGGGAAGTAGATACGGTAAGTAGAGGCACCGAATGTGGAGTCTGTACTATGCGACTTGTCATCAAAGGATCACTTGCAGGTTAGCCAAGTCCGAGGTTTGCGCGAGCAGCCCAAACCGCATGCAGCTACACTAGACACAAAAGAGGAAAGGCCAGCCGCATCCCTGGGACTCAATTGCCGCGCTTCTGTTCCGCCTACGCTTCTGTTCCGCCTACGCTTCTAGTCGTCCCCGCAGCATGACGGCACGCGTGCTCGGCCATGCTGCCGTGGAGTACCAAGTCCCAGATACTGGGGCTCTCTAGCATCCGATTTTATTGCCGGTCACCTTGCAATCCCGATATGCGTTGTCTTGAATGCCGTTGTGCACTAGCCCGGCTTGGAAATGGATGGCGTCGGTGTGAGAACAGAGCGAGATTTCTTTAAAGAGCGCTGGGCCGGCTACACTGGATGCTAACCATTTAGCCAATATCCTCGCTATTCTCCCCATTTCCTCTTTCTTGCACTCTTGCATCCAGCTGTACTAGCAGTTTGTATCTCGGTATAGTCCAAGTGCAAGGGGCTTTCTTCTGCTTCTTATCTTACATCGCGGCGGCATTCCGTATTCCCTTGTATATACCGCCACGCTTTTTAACTTTCAAAGTCACCGAAGGGGAAAAGAAGCCATGGTGGAAAACTACGACGTTGTTATTGTTGGCGCGGGGCCCGTTGGCCTTTGTCTCGGAACCTGCCTGGCAAGATGGGGTTACAAAGTCAAGCACATCGACAACAGACCAGAACCTACAGCTACCGGTCGAGCAGACGGTATCCAGCCGCGCTCACTGGATCTTCTGAGGAACATGGGCCTCAAGCGCAAGATTATGGAGTATGAGCCAGCAAAAGTTTACGAAGTCGCTTTCTGGGATCCAGCACAAAAGGGTATCCACAGGACAGGCACATGGGCTAGTTGCCCCAAGTTCATCGACGCACGATACCCTTTCACCACCTTGCTACACCAAGGTATGATTGAGCGGACTTTTATCGGAGATATTGAGAAGAACGGTGGCAAGATCCAAAGACCGTGGACGATTACCGGGTTCAAGAATGATGGCAAGGACAAGATATATCCCGTCGAAGTCCAACTCGCGCATATGGATGGCACAGCCAGGGAGACCGTTCGAGCAAAGTACCTCTTCAGCGGAGAGGGCGCAAGGAGTTTTGTCAGGGAGCAACTGGGCATCAACATGATCTACAAGGACCCCATTGCTCACGTCTGGGGAGTCATGGACGGCGTTGTCAGGACAAACTTCCCTGATATCAAGGTATGTACTCTCAAGTTTTTGCTGATATCATTTCATTCATATACTAACGGAATTCTAGATGAAATGCACAATCCACTCTGACGCTGGATCTATTATGATTATTCCCCGCGAGGACAACATGGTACGCCTATACATCCAAGTAGCATCATCAACCGACAAGGACTGGAATCCCCGCAAGTCTGCTACAGCGGAAGAGGTCCAAGCCCGCGCCATTGAGATTTTCAAGCCATACACCATCTCTTGGGATCGTGTGGAATGGTACTCTGTCTACCCCATTGGCCAAGGTATCGCAGAGCGTTACACTCTCGACGAGCGTGTATTCATGGGTGGAGACGCATGCCATACTCACAGCCCCAAGGCCGGTCAGGGCATGAACACCGCATTCCTCGACGCCGTCAACTTTGCCTGGAAGATCCACCACGTAGAGAGCGGCTGGGCACCACGATCCCTCCTCTCCACCTACGAATCCGAACGCAAGCTCATCGCCGAAACCCTGCTGGACTTCGACGCCCGCTACGCCAAACTTTTCTCCACCCGCATCCCCTCCGCAGGCGAAGTCGCCGGCGCCTCTGCCAAAGAAGCCCCTGAAGACAACGAATTCATCAAGACCTTCAAGGCAAGCTGCGAATTCACCAGCGGCTACGGCGTAGCCTACAACCCCAACCTCGTCAACTGGGGTCCCCAACACCCGGCACAACACCCCCTCATCCTCTCCTACCCCCAAGGCACCACCCAGCGAACCGGCCGCATCCTCACCCCTGCAACCGTAACCCGCGTCGTCGACGCCAACGTTGTACATCTCGAACAAGAAATCCCCTTCAACGGCTCCTACCGCATCTTCATCTTCGGCGGCACCCTCGCCAAATCCAGCACCGCCCTCAAAGACCTCGCCACAAACATGTCGTCCCCCTCTTCCTTCTTCAACGCCTTCCTCCACCCAGACATCAAAGACAAAGACCGCTACCACGAGAAACACAACCCGCACTCTGACTTCTTCACCCTCGCCCTCGTCTTCGCGGAGCAGCGCTCAAAGATCGAAATCGATGAGCAGTTGCCCCAGCCGTTTGCTAGATATGCCGATCATGTCTATGCGGATGATGTGTGGGATCAGCGTGTTCCTGACGCAAAGGCCGCGGCGCACGCCAAGATGGGCCTCGATCAGGAGACTGGTGGCGTGGTTGTCGTGCGGCCGGATGGGTATGTCGGTGTTGTGGTGAAGCTGCAAGAGGGCAAGGGTACGTGTGAGGCGCTGGATGCGTGGTTTGGAGTTGTTACTGGGAAGAAGTTGGGGGGTGAGAGGGCGAGTTTGTAAAAGGAGGATGTGTTAGGGGTTAATGATGGGATGGATTTGGGAAAAAATGAGCGGTTGCATAGCGTATGGTTTTGTTTTCTTTTTGTATATTTTTCAATAATGATGGTGGAATGATTACATGTCTGGATTTTAGACTACCCTTTTGTAGCGAGTGTGTTGATAGGTTGCAAATGACAAATGGTCAACTGTCCAAAATTAAACCAGCACCCCCTGCTTTACTTCGAACAAAATGCTACCATATGTCGCCATATGCACTATACATCCCGTCAACGTCCAAAAAGCCCGCAAATACAGATTAGTTGCTTGGGCGATATTTGCATGTCCCCATGTCAACCCTATCCCAACAGGAAAAAAAAGATTGATATCAAACTTCCAAAGTCTATGATTCAAAAAAAAACTGTCTATGCACACATGTCTTTAACCATATGGCTTCTACTCCTCAAACGCCCCCATTCATCCCATCTCCGCACCCCATCTTTCTAATTCACCACCCTCTTCAACTGCGCTGCCTGTCTCGGCTCAATAAATAGCGCCTCAGCCTCCGTAAGTACAACCCCCTCTTTCTTCCCATGACCCCACTCCTCCGCCTTGGGCAGCGTCTCGAGCCGACCCTTAACCCACGCCTTCCTTCCCTCAACCTTCGTCGTTTCGGCATGTAGAACCACAATCTGGCCCGCCATGCAGGGCGCCTTGTAGTTTATCGTCAGACTAGCCGTGACACCGACTTTGTTGGGGAGCGCAGGGAAACAGCAGCGTGCGAGACCTTCGTCGAGAAGTGTGGCTAGGAGACCGCCGTGTACGATGCCTGGGTGACCGCATAGCGCGCTGCCGAGGTACTGTATCGCGACGAACTGAGAGCCATCTGCTGTGGAGAATTGTAAGGGAGGAGAGGCAATCTTGTCGGGACCGAGGAGAGTTCCTCCGGTGAGATTCTGGGCCCGAAGTTGCTCGGGGATCTTGAGGTGGGGGCGCGCGGCGATGAATTTGGGGTCGGCGAGAAGGCTCTTGGTGAGCGGGTGCTCGAATATCGTCTTTTCGATGTCTGCGACTTCTTCGGTGGAGGGGTTGAAAAGTTCGAGCGTCTCGGCGTCTGTCGGGGGGTTGGCGAGCTCCTGGAGGGACTGGACGGCGGGGGCGCCAGCCATGATGAAGCCGGTGGTGAAGGTGAGGAGTGTAAGCGCGAGGGCAATGGGTAAGCGTATGTAGACAGGGCGTCTGGTTACAGGGCTCGGGTTAGGAGAAGGTGGTGGGGTCGATTGAGCAGTGTGCGATTGCTGGGGCAGCGATGCTACAAGAGTTCTTTAGTTAAGGGTCTATAGACGGCATGTTGATTGTCGCAAAAGATAGAGCGATTAGACTTACCAATATCACTCTGTTGCCTTATCTGTCTTGAGACGTATGCCCACTTTGCCTGCGAGACAATTCCATCTTTTATACCAGGCTGGCCGACTTCGCGCCGCGCCAATGGCGGCCTATTACAGGTACCCCGACAACGACCCACATGTCTAAATATGGCCGATTTTGCGGATAACATGGCTCTTTTGTGCCCAGAATCAGAGAATTTCCGGCCTAGTCGTTCGTTGCGATCCGAGTCGGTGAGCGTATGGCGATAGAAGGTTCCGTTCTCAGCTCGGACCTTCGGAATGATGTGCCTCGGCTCAGGGAAAGTCCGCCGTTCCATGCATCCTTTGCAAGGCAATTTCTTCTGTGGCTGGCCAAGACAAAGGACAGAGCACTAACAGCCGTGTTTCTTCAAGGCTCGGCCGATGCCATGGAGAACAACCTGCTTTTGCCTTCGCTGGGAACCCCCTATCTTTTTGCGGGATGTCGTCGATGCCCATTTACACACATATCTTTGGAACTGATGGGAAAACTCCAGACTTCAGACATCACCTACATCCATAGAAGCAATGCCCAGCGCGAATTCATCTCATGCGTATCGATTTTGGGATATTACCCCACGGCCTTTGCTTTTGCATGCTTCAGGCTGACCATTTCCCCTTTACATCGATCCATTCAATCGTCATACTATACATACAGAGTTGAGAAGTGTGTCATGTCGAACGCCGTGCCCATCTGTAGCGCTCGTCTATCCACTTCCATGACCCAGAGAACAAATCAAACTACCCAGTGTACAGACTGGGTTCATAATAAAACAAGATAGCAGAATCTTTTGGACGCCAAAGATGCCGGGAGAATAGAAGCGTAAATGTTAAGATGTGAACGGGGACGTAGTCGTACAGCAGCGAATGCAAATGCAAGGAAAGGAATCGACGTAGCGAGTAGCTCAGTAGTAATCTCTGGCACTCTTTTGCAGCTCGATCAGTCGCCATCCTCTTGTCTCAGGATTGTTGACATCTTCTGGTATCCTGGTAACACCAATGGCGTATGTCACTTGTTGGACTTTGTCGTCCATTCCAGAAGCCAACTCTCCGCTCTTTGCATTGCGGTAGACGTGCACCTCTTGGGTTCTGCACGTGAGAATGAAGACAGGAATCTCTCCAGGCTCCAAAAGTTTTGCGTTGAGAACATCGACACCGCGGATATCCACAATCTTTCCGTCAGACTTGAGACCGGCGGCTTGGTATTGCTGCATCAGTGCAGCATAGACGGAGTACTGGGCTGCCGACAGCCACTCCTTCAGAACAGCGACGTCACCCTTGACATAGGCATCCAAAACCTCAGGCAGGATGTATTCGCGCATCTCAGTCAGGAAAGACTCCATCTGGAAGTTCGGGTCCATTTCTCGGAATTTCTTGATGACCATTGCTGTTTCGTTTTCGGCGAAGAAACCAGTGATGCGGTCCGAGATGCTGCGAGCCGTCTCAATGAGGGGGTTGTCAGACTCCCTGTAGACAGCCTTCATGTTGAAGAAGCCCTGGGCGAGCTTAGAGTTGTCCTTCCATTCCCTCCAGACCTCTTTATACTTCGCATCCTTGTGTAATGTTACATTGGTGCCGGCACTGTATAATGTTAGACCAGAAGTATCAAATTATCAAGACAATCTCACTTTGGGTCTTCTTCCATTGGCCCAAGAGCCTTGCCGCCAGTGCGCTTGAGCTCGTTGAGCTCACGCAACTCTCGCCTCTTCCTGCGCTCTTCCTTTTCGACCCAGCCACCATATCTTGATGAACTGCCATCATCAATGGTCTCCTTTACAGCCTGGAAAGCCTTTGTTTGTCGCACTGGCCTGGTTGCGTATTCAATACCACTTCCAGTAACCCTAGCAGCAGCACGAACACCCTTCACAGGCATGGTATCCCATGTCCAAGCCGCACCCTGACCCACAGCTGATGCAGTTGCTTTCAGTGCCTCCGCTGTCTTTGTCTTTGCAGCCTCAGAAATTTGGCCAGCTTTTTGGACATTTGGGTTCTGTTGGAAATCGTGCAGCGCGCCGCCCAATTGCTTTGTGCCCTCGTTCCAGTCTTTTGAAGCCTGAAACTCCTGCTTCAGTGTCTCAGTGAAGACTTGCCAAGGAGTCTTGTCACCGTGGGGTGGAGGTGGAGGTGCATCCTGCTTCTCTTTCTTCTGACCCTCCTCGCCTTCCTTTTGCTCGCCCGACTCCTCTTCGCCCTCCTTCTTTTCCTTTGCTTCCTCGCCCTCTTTCTTTGTGGCTTCCTCTGTAGTGCTGCCCTCGGAGGTTGTAGACTTCTTAGCCTCCGACTGTGGCGCTGACTCTTCGTCTTTTACAACCTTTTGCTTTTGTGCTTGCTCGTACAGGGCGGGCCGAGAAGAAAAGTGGCGGGCATATGTGGAGGATGTCCGGAAGAGAACATCGTGGGGCAGGAAATTACTGCGAAGAAATGGTTGTGATGAAGCCAAGGACGCCAATGGCACGGAGGTGCTCGAGACAGAGCCCTGCGGCGTCCGAGGCAATGTCGATATCCGTCTATAGGATGTAGCCCTTGCGCAGGCGGTTGCTGGTGTTGCAGCGGCGGCAGGTTGTATGCTCCATCGCGCACTGGCGGCGAATGTGCTTGCAGTCGGCGGTCTCATGCTCTGGAAGGGATTTATGCAGAATCTCGAGTCTCAAGTTTCAGCGTGTGAATGACCCAGAAGTGGTGCGATCAAAACGAGGCCGCGGCAAATGTTGAGTGAAAACGTCAGGCGGCATTGCCATCTTTTTCCGCATCGGCCATTCGGCAATGCCAAGCATCGTAACTTCGCAACTTTCTTTGACCTTCTAGCCCACCAATGTTCCTGCAGTCTTGATTGGGGCGTCTGTCATTACCACCAAACATGGCTCACAACACCGCGTTACGGACGTTCCGATCCCTCACAAATACAATTGCTACATCATGCCGGCATGCGCAATCGCTGCGACCCTTCACACACAGCACACGAGCCCTCAATGCAGCGCCGACCGACCGCAATAAACCAGACCAGTCAATGGACTCATTGCTCTCAAATGTATCCCAAAATTTTTACCAGGCGGGGCAAGACCAATTCTCGACCCTTATCCCGAACGCAGACGGCTTTCCCAGAGTTGGTAACCTAGTCCAGCGCGAATGGGAAGAAGACGACAAGCACAAACTACACGTCTACGCAACCAAACACAACACACATCTATGTCTTACTAGACCCAATCGTGATCCATTGATCTCGATATCATGTGGCAACATTGGTTTCAGGAAAGCGGGGAGAGGCACGTATGACGCTGCCTATCAGTTGGCAGCATTCTTGATGAACAGAATCCAGGACAAGGGCTTGTTGCCACAGATTAAGAGATTAGAGTTGGTGTACAGAGGATTCGGCCCGGGAAGGGAGGCTGTTACAAAGGCGATATTGGGCGCCGAGGGAAAGAAGATACGGCCATTGATTGTCAAACTGGCAGACTCAACGAGGTTGAAGTTTGGCGGCGTGAGAAGCAAGAAGCCAAGGAGACTGGGTTAGAGACTCTGGCTAGTATGGTCAGGCAACATAACAAGAAAGGCGGAAACCGTACGATGGGATGTTGGACCTGGAAATCGTCCATGAATAGAGGCCTTCAGCGCTAAAGTGCAAGCATCACGAAAGAGCAGTGCATGTGCAAGGACGACGAATTAGACCAGCTTGAAAGTCATGTTAAATTCCTCGGGAGTGGCGCCCTTTCAGCGGGCGGTATAGCCCTTCCACTAGAATCTGTTTCCGCGATGCTGACAAGCCTGGGCGCAAGATTTCTGGTCTCATTCCTAATATGCCCTCTTGCGCCTCCCTGACTACTCCGATTACTTCCAGCAGAATTGCTCGTGTTCTCCCAGCCCCTTGTCTCCTGAGCTGTCCGAGCGCGTTCTCGTTCTCGATCATGTCGCAGCATCGACGACCCTTCGTCTTCGAACTCTTCGTCAAGTAACTCTCCATCCGCAGTATCATAATCCGGTGGCGCTATCCATTCCCGTGGTACAACGCATGGAAGAGCGACGCCGATGCTAGCCGCACGATTCAAGTAGCCCGGGGCTGGGCGACCGGTAAGTTTTTCGCAGAGATATGATGTGAAGTGATTGCAGTTCTTTGTGAGGAGGTTGTACGATGTCCCTTGGAATTCATGTGAGGCCTACAGTAGGTTAGTCCAGACCCTTTTGACTTGTCCAGCATTTCGAACCTCTTGTATGATAACATCCAGTTCTTCGGCAGGGCGAAATGAGAAGCCGTGTAGAATCGCTTGCTTGAAAGTGCCACCCGGAGGCTCCAGTCCGGGCTTAGTCCAATAGACTCCAGTGAGGTCTCTCCGGTCGTGTCCCCCGTATGCGTATTCCCTGTCGCCGATAACCACACCAGAGTGTAAAAGAGAGCTTCCGATTGCCCAGAGGATACTCGAGATCTTACCGGGAGGCAGCAAATCGTAAACGTTGATTGTGATTTCGGTTCTCTGCATGGATAGCGTATTCCTGTGGTGGTTGGAACTTGTGCGCGCAGGCTTGGGACGAGTAGTAGACGCCATTTTGTGCGCCCGTGTGCGTATTATTCGAATATAGTATTTACTGTTGCAGCTATCTCTGCGCTGGCACCAAAGACGAAGGGTGGGGTATCATAGACACGAATAAAGAAACGCTTGGTACTGAGGATGATGTGGCCCGGCGGAGGGCGTAGGGTGGCAGGGTGAGATAGATGAGGACTGCAGATCGGGGCCTGCCCGTGAAGATGTGCGGAGACTGAGGTGTGGGGT